CGTGACTTGATGCTAATCACTTCTTCAGAGCACATAAATAACCGAAATAAAATTAACACAATATTTCGTAGATGAAACTTTTGTGCTTCTCTCCTTTGATATTTTCTCATCATGATGGTCACTTATAAGAGTGATGAAAGACTTCTTAAAGCTTCTGAGTCATAGGTGTTACAGTAATTTGTTGTTGTTCAAATGACATCATTTTTCTGATCAACCAAGCACTTAGCTAGAAAATAGTATTCCAAAAGTGGAAGATCTTTTATCGGCTTGAGTTAACTGTAGACAAAAATGATACGGTCTGATAAGAAATCAACTGTATAGTAATGATATACATGTATGTTTACTGGGGGATCTTTAAGGGAGAGTTTATTTTAATTTATCATATTTTATTGTCCTATATTCTCCTCAAGGCATTATCAATATCAAGTCTTTCAATTATCTCGTTTAAGGTCCACTACATATTGCAACCAACATACTCTTACATGGCGAACTGAGTGAACATATATAAAAAGAGCATAAACCAAGTGTCATGATCCAAATTTTGGAATAGAATAATGATGTACATGCTTATAGAGTCTCACAATGAGAAAAAGTTTTCTAGCACACTATGATTTTCAGCTGTCACTTATGCAACTTGCTCCATATATAGTAAAGTTTCGTTATTGTCATTTCTTAGAAAACTGTTGATTTTTAATTTCATATACTGTTTGGTCTCTTGGTTATTTCCAAGTAACTATGTTTATAAACTTCTTTTTAATCATCAACTGTCAATTATGCGATATATTAGAAAAGCTAACTTGTAATAATCAACTTGTTTTATGATCATACATTTTTTTGTATAATGAGATTTGCATAAGATTACTATGCTAGTATATTTGGAAATATGAACATATTTTCTTCAAAACTGAATTTACATTCTCTCTATGGCTTCATAACACAGTGTATGTATTAATTTTACAATGTTTGTTTATAAGATAAATGACTAATTGCTTATGAATGATTATTTGTTTTACTATACCACATCATAGTGATATGTTTTATTTTCTAAAGGAAATTAACTAACAAACATGTAACTGTAGAACGATGTGATTTAATAGAACTCCACAGGTAGTCTGTGTAGCGAAAAGGCTCATGATGCGAAAATATTCATTATTCACTAATTTGAACACATCTAATATAGTATCATAACACTTGACATATCTATTGAAATTCTATGTTTTTTCTCCTAACGTTTCACCTTCCATATTATGTAAGCAAAATTATGATAGAAATTAATAGGATGATCTGACTTCTAAACAGATTAAGGGATATTGAAGATTTTAGAACTGCATTTAAATGTTATATAATATTATTTGGAAATCTTCTGAAGAGTCTATCTTCAGTATTGTTTATTCTAGCTTGATTGACATCACTTCTTGCAAATCTCTCATTAAAAATATTGAGGCTAACTATTTATTCTTATGAGTGCAAAATATGTAATTATTGTGAATTGTTTACAAGTCAAGATAAATGCATCACAGCGTTATGTTTTTAATCTAAAATTCAATCAAGTAACTTGGGTTAATTATTTTTAAATACCTAGAAATAATAATAAAAAATATTGAACATATTTAAATACACACAAAGACAGCTTAATTGATGTTATAGATCAGAGATAACATAATTGAATTTATTTATCGAAATTGATGATTGATTTTATTAGCATCATTTCGAAAAATACAGGAATCTCTTCAGGCGGCCACTTGATCCACACAATTCTATACTGTAAAATAATATAAGGAAGAATGAATAACATATAGTCAATGTTAAGTATTTCCAAATTTTTGTACAAATATTTTGAAAAAAGTGCAGAAAATGAATTCCCATTTATAGCTTGGATTATTTTGCTGATATCTGTAAACAATAGATTGATTATGTTTAATGTATACCTGAATTTGACTGCAGCTAAAATAAGACAGTGAAAATAAGAATCTGAACTATAGAATTCAACTCATTTGATTTTAGCACGATATAGTAAAAACAAGAAATGGGCTAAATAATGTGTCCAAGTGTTCATGATCAATGTAATTAAATCAAATAAAGTTGGGTACCGGAATTGAAAATAAAAAGAGAAAAGCACACCATGTGTATTGTAGTTGTTGTAAAGTGCAAATGAATATGAATCTCTTATCCATGTACCGTATCATAGAAGTAATAAAGTTTAAATCTACTTAATTTGGATACACAGATTCAGTTTTATATTATTATTATTATTACACTTGCTAACCTTTTTGAGGAATTTATTCAGTATCCATCCCTAAATCTACTATATCCGACCTAATTCATATTATTCTACATATTACGTAATTTATGATTTGTAATTACATTATATTCTCTCACACCCCATATTGACCATATTTGTTCTGATCATTTATCTCACAATTTCATTTCACTTATAAACTGATTCAAGTTAACACTTCATAATAGTTATCCCAACATTAACGATTTAATTTGATTTGATATGACAAAAAACAATTCTCGATTCACATATTACAATTTTAAATGATGTACTCTGCCTTAAACCTGGCCAATTTTATGGATTATTAATTTGGATATGATAATTGTAGAACCTGATGAGAAATTATTGAAAAGAATATTCTTCGTTCATATAATTATGTTTTATATTTATTTCCTAAGTCAGTAACTTTTGCCTTTTGTTCAATCCCTAAATGGTTTACTTCTGACTTGCCTGTTTAAACGATAGTTTGAATAATCAAACTGCTTTTGGTTCTGACCAAAGTAACTTACATTGATTAAATAATGGGATTGGTTACAACAAAAATGCATCAACTATTTGAGATACTTCGCTTTTAACATTCAATATCAATTTTACTGCATTAAACGTTCTTTATTGTGTTTTATATCAATTCACCTCTATATCATCGATACATTATAAACAATTCCGTTGACCATCTACTTCGATCTGAGAAATCGAGTATAGTCACAGTCCACAAACAAATCAAGTCAGTTGTGTGGCGCATATGTATTCGGTGCCACTTTATACCAACATTTATGTGTTCAAATAAATAAGTAAAGTAAATAATAAGAGGAAATGTGTTTCGCTGTTTGTCTAGAGGCTTATCTTGAATAAAATCGTTATTTAAAACACAGATACATGAAATAAAAATATTCTTTTCAATAACGCCTCATAAGCTTCCATAGTTGTGCATTCAAGTGAGGCATTTAGAAGAATAGCCAAATATAAATCAAATATCCCTGTCGACATTTTAACACTTAAATGTCAGTAATATTAAATTATTTATGTCGAAATGAATAATGTATAGTTTCAACGTGAATAAATAACAGCCCGACAAACAACTAGTGTTTCGTGTAAAATTGGGAATATGTCTAGTCATTTATTTTATCATGGAAAAGTAACACGTTCAATTAATCAATAGTAATACTAACTATAAAAAGATCCAACTTCATCAAAGTAAATATAACCTTCCATTTTGTGTTTTTATAACTTAGATTTGAATTGGTTGTTTGAATGTTGCTATAATTGTTTAGGACTGGAATTGATTAATCTCTTTTAGTATATGTGTATCCTATATGGATTGCCTCGATAATGTCTTAAATGACAAGAATGACAAAACTTGAAGAAATCAATGTAAAAATGAATCTATTTTTTTTCTTTTGTACGTAAAATGATTTTATAATTTAGAAATGAAATGATTTTACTGGGTTCATTTTTTTATTGGGTTTGTTTTTCCTTAAAATGTAGTATGTCAAGTTAGATGATATAAATTCTATTTATCATCTGGTGTAAATATAAAAAGCTGTGACCGTTTAACGGAGTAATTCTATTTGGTATTGATAAAAAATAGTTCAAGTCATCTGAACGTTTAACAAAAAAGAATGCTAATAATATTAAAGTGTAGATCTTCGTACTGAACTATGCTCAGTTAAACATTCTATAAATCTCCAAGTTACTCGACTTATTATTTATCTATATCGATGGGTTTTATATGATGGATAAATCGAAAGAGTACGATGTAAAATATTTTTCACCAACCGTGTATAAATAAAAAATACATTTTCATCTAGACGTAAACAATGTTTTACAAGAATAACAAATATCCTATATGACCGCAGTTTGATATTTAGCTCTAAACGTCTAACTGAAAGACAATGAATTTTAATATGTCAGATACTCGAGTGAAACGAATTTCACAGTAAATCAATAACTTGTTAATCTGAGCAAAAGAACTCCATTCTACATTCCCAAAGTTATGTACTCATGAATGATAGCTATAGAAATATAAATGACTGAACTTTATTTCAATTACACTATTCATTTCGGTAAATAAATTATAGATTTTAACCTAGTCTGTAAAAATGGAGCTGTGAAATTGAAGTCTTAATTTGCCAGTCTGTTTTTGTGGAATGAGATAAAATGAATTTCAATGATTTGGGGAAATATTAGTTAAAAGCGAATAATGATACTAATAAGATCTGTTCTATAAATGTCTGGTTATATGTGTATTTAAGAGTTCAGCATTCTTCGAGAAATTTTAAGTTTATTTGCTGTGTGATTGATGAATGATTAGCTACATTTTGTTTTTAATTTGTATTCATTCTTAATCATTTTCATGTAAAACTTCTCCTTCGATTCTTTAACTGACAGAATGTGATATTCATGCACTCTGGGTATTTAATATAGTCGTACTTTGAAGTAGTTATAAACTCGATGATTTGAGAACAGTGACTAGTTAATTGGAGCTGGACAGATTAAATGTTAATCTCCATCATGTGATTCAAGGAATTATAATTTTATTCAGTGAGATATAATCATATTATATTCTTAAGAAATATAACTGTATGTTTAATGACTATTGTATACTTTTATTAAGCTATTCAAATTTATATGATAGTTGTTCAGAATGTATATTCATGAATTGTTCCATTGAAATTTTAATCAATTTTTCATTTACTACTTTTTTTCTCTCTCAATCTTTTAGCTAAATAATACAATTAGATTATGAGACGGAAAGTTGTTTGGTTTACTGTCATTCTTTCAGATAAATACAATAACAGAAGGAGTTATTTGTTATATAGTTTTTATTTCCAAACCGATTCAACAATTTGTTTTTTGTCTTTTAAAATTCATTTCTAGAATTCAGATACTTAAATGTATGTTGTCAAGAGTATTTGCTCAAAAAAAAAATTATACATCTAAATAATATGCTTCAGAAGTGATGAACTTTGTTATCCTTTTATTTCATGTTCTTTATATACAGTAAATTGGTACCATACAATATAAAACCTATATGCATAATGAATTTAAATTTATTTTTTAAACTCCTTGAATATTTCTTCTTTTCTATTGATGATGTAATTGTTCTTTAAGTATTATCTATTGGATAAATGAAGAAAGAGTAAGATGATTACTTTTAAACATTTCAATAAATTCAATGTATGAATTCTATAGACTACTTATATAATGTCAATATATTTATTTTAATATGGTAAATATATTATTTTATTAGATGTAATATTTTCTTTTTATTATTATTATTATTATGATTATTGTCTTTCAATAAGTCTTTGATTTTTCATATTTTGATTTCCGAAGAAAAAAATTTGTTTTCATATATATGTACACGATTGTATAGATTGATAATAACTTCGTTGAAAAGAGATCCTTTCGCTGAAATTCGTGGTTTTTAATTCTTCAGTGAATTTCTTTCTTTTTTTTCTTCTTCATCTTCTTCTAGATTCATAGATAAATTGTATTTAAAATAAAATGAAGAATTTCCCTAATATTACAGATTATCAACTTATTAAGATGATAATTGTATTATATATGAATCCAATGTACAAATTATGAAATAATTATTCAATAAAATAATAAATATTATTCATAATTATATTTTGTTGATAATATTTAATATCTTTTTAAAAATTTAATATTTTATTCATAAAAAATTATATTCATTTTCATTGGAATTTTCGTTTCGAATTACTGTCATAATCAAAACACTTTAACTAGATATTTATAGTTAATGTAAATTTCAATTTTAATCATGCCTTAAAGTAATTCTTTGATTGAGATGATGAATCGATTGATGTTAGATGATTATTGAAAAGTTGGAAGTACTGGACAGCCGTTTCGTCCTATTGTGGGACTCTTTAGTAGTGCGCATCCATGATCCCGCCCACGGGATCCCAACCCAGAACCTATCGGTCTCGCGCATGAACGCTTAACCTCTAGACCACTGAGCTGGCCGGCATCCAACTGTGTTAATGTTTAACGTCAACCAATCCGTGAAATTGTGCGACCATATTTCATTGTACTGAGGTAGATACCTGTCTCTACCCGACACGGATTAGCTCCACTGGTCACGTCTTCTCACTAGAACTCTGAGTATCCCCTCACGAAGCTAGTCACTAGTTAGCACATGGTAATTATCAGGATAGGATATTTATTTTGGGATTTCTTGTTATGTTAAATCGTGAATATATATTTCTTATGATAACTTTATGGGTACTTAAAAAAGGTACAATTTTATTTACCACGTTACGTGTTATTTTAAAGTGTCAAGTCACTATGACCCAAAAACAAAGGTGTGAGTGAACAAAGCTTAAGCTGGTTTCTTAGTTGTTTAAGGGTTATTGGCAGGAAGTATACCTGGAATTGCAAAAGACACTACTATCTCTTGGGAATTTCAATACCATTTCGCTCAGTGTCACTTTTTTATCAAATAAAATAAAGTCACTTTTGGGTTATTACTGACTTGATTTAGCACTGATGTATTTTTGCATTGTGCATAAATTATAAACAGTGTGAAACCTGGCATTTATGTGCACAGGCTTTTTTATATACTCTTCGTTTATTACTTATGCTTGAGGAAACGAGGAACTATTGCGATTTTCAAGTGGAGATTTTTTAAGTCTAGTCTAAAACACTCATTTATAGAGTATCATTAAACGCACGGCGATTTTTCTATTTTTTTCATCCCATTTTTAATTTTTTTTCATTCCGTTTCGTCCAATTAAACGATAAGTTTTAAATTGGTAATAATTAGTTAGTTATTTCTTAAAATTGATATAAAATGTAAGTACATGTCGACAGAGCATCTTTTGTATGTTGAGGAAATGTCCGTAGAACACCTAGCAGATCATCACAGTTGATTGAACGAAGGAGGTATATGAAGGACTGCAATGATCATTCAATGTCCAGCCTTCATATATTGTAGGTTTATTGAAGGTTACTGGACTGTTGTTCATGGGAATGTGTATCACAAGCATGAGTGCAATTACCTGAGGTACGAAACCAACTCTTAGATACACAGATTAACAGACATGGACTTTTAAACAGACTGTGTGACACGTGCAACATTGCTCAGCTGCCAAGTGAAACTGCTAGTAGAATCACTTGATATTTTGTCGCTGCAATGCGACGTTTCATTCTGAGACGGTGGAGAAAATGTGTAGCTCAGGTGGATGATTTTGATGGAGTTTTGTTCTCTGACCTGGATGGTTTGGTTGTGGAGCTTGGCCAACTGCAAAAAACACTACATCGGACAGAGCGGACGCCTCCTTCACCTTCGCCTACATGAAAATCAAGTAGCAGTCAAACGCCATGATACTTCCTCGCTTCTATCAATACACGTGGACAACTGCGGACACTCATTCGATTGGAAAAATCTGGAAATCTTGGACAGAGGAAATTCCGAAAACACCAGAGAATTTTTAGAAGCCTGGCGCTCAGGTCAATCAGCAATCACAAGCACATTGAAATCGATCCAATTTATCAACCAATCAGGAAAATCATGCACAAATATAGGAACAAAAATCAAACCAATGGGAGACACAACCAAAACAAAGAAGTAAGCAATGACAAATTTAAGGTCAACAAGAACCAATCAACATCGAGGTGCACAGAACAAGCTGTGAAACACATGGAGAAATTCGAACACTTCACTTCTATCTGAAGTTTGTGCTAATGATGTCGTCCAGAAGAACGATGAAAGTTCCACGACCAAACCATCCAGCTCATAGAAGAAAAATCCATCAAAAACGTCCCATTCGTTTTGTGCCTGGGACCCACAACCACGATCCCGTAGATTTCACTGTTCCATTTGCGGCGCCATCGTTCAGGACAATCGAGAATGTTAAGAGACCGAGTGAAGGTTGTTTTCACGGCCACTAACAATTTGATTTAAACTATTTTTTTCAATTCGTCACGAATTGTATTACAATTTTTTTCAATCTCATTCCACACACCTCCGTATTTTTTTAAACGACAGTTCTGCCATCATTGCATTTAACAGGAATTTTCAGTAATTATTACTTTACTTACTTACTTACGCCTGTTGCCCCTCATGGAAGAGCATGGGCCACTCGTCAGCATTCTCCATCCATTTCCGTCCGGGGCAATATTTTCCAGTTCTTCCCAGTTGCTATTCATCCTTTTGAGGTCTGCTTCCGATTCTCGACGTAGTGTGTTCTTCACCCTTCATCTTTTCCGTTTTCGTTCAGGATTACAAGCTAGTGCTTGCCTCGTGATGAAGCTCGATGATTTCCTCAATGTGTGTCATACCAATTTCCAATGTCTTTTCCTAATTTCTTTTATGTCTAAAAGCTGGTTTGTCCACCCCCACAGTAAGCCAGAGGATATTGAATATCCTATGTAGAAAAATTTATAAATACTTGTACCTTTTTGATGATGGTTGTGGTAGTTCTCTACGGTTCAACTGCGTACACTAGGACTGTCTTGACGTTCATATTGAAGATTCTGACTTTGATTATTGGTTGACAGTTGTTTTGAGTTCCATATGTTCTTCACTTGGAGGAATCAGGCACTAGCTTTAAAAATCCTCGCCTTTACGTCTACATCCAATCCCCTTTGTTCATCGAGGGTGCTACCCAGGTACGGGCATGTGTTCTCCATCATGTGTGATTGCGGTGGTGTTCTCTATGTTGCATTTGAGGATCTGGCCTTTTTCCTTGTGTATATTGAGGCCTACTGATGCATAGGCTTCTGTTACACTAGTTGTCTTGACCTGCGTTTATTTGCGTGTACTGGATAGACTGGCCGGGTCTTCTGCGAAGTTCGAATCGTCTAGTTGCATCCTACCTGTTAATTTTATTCCGTGCTTTCCTTCAGATTTGGAGGTCTTCATAATATCGTCAACCAACAGAAGAAAACCAAAGGGAGAGATTACAAAGCTCTATCTGACACTCATCTTCACTTGGAATGCATCTGTGAGTTGTCCTCCATCAACGGCTTTGCACTGTAGTCCATCACATGAATTCCGGATGATGTTGACAATCTTCTCAAACACACCATAGGGTCAAAGAACGTTCCATAAGGTTCTTTTATCCACAATGCCAAACATCTCATAGTCGAGGACGTTGACGTATAGTGACGAATTCCGTCCAATTGATTGTTCAAAAATGATCCATAACGTAGCGATTTGGTCTATGCATGACCGGTACTTACGAAATCCGAACTGTTGATGTCAAAGATGAGCGTCTGCTGAATATTTCATTCGCTCCAAAACCACTGTTGGAAACTTTTCCTGGTACTGAAAGTAGTGTGATTTCTTTGTAGTTTTCTCAACTGTTCAGATCTTCTTTCTTTGATATCTTGATGAGATGTTATACCTTCCATTCTGCTGGTACATGTTTTCCCTCCCAAATATTTCTGAATAGAATGTTGAGCATCGTTGCAGCTACTTTTCTGTATTAACTCATAGCTTGATCATGCTGCTTTCCCGCTCTTGATTTGTCTGATTACCATTTTGATTTCTTCGACCGTTGGCAGAGTGACATCTATAGGAGGGTTTGAGTGTGCTGCTTCGATGTCTGATGAGTTCAGTGAGGCTGGTCTATCTGAGAGTTTCGCGGAGCGTTCCACTCGTTTGTTCCTCTGTTCTTGAATTTCAGAGATTGGTTTGTCCTCTTTGTCCTTGACTGGTCTCTCTGGTTGATCATATCTCCTTACCAGTTTCTTCGTTGTCTCATATAGTTGTTTCGTATTTCTTTCTCTTGCAGCTTTTTCCACTGTCGTTGCTAAACCTTCAACGTATTTCTACTTGTCAGCTCTAATGCTCCATTTCGCTTGCTTGTTCGCTTCTGTGTACTCAGTTTGTGCCTTGAACTTCTCTGTTCTTTTTCGGTTGTTGTTATTTGCTGATGACATTTATTGCAACCCAGCACCCCTTGACACGTTGAATTTAGTGCTTCTTTCATTCCTTTCTAACTGCTCTACATCGTGGTTTCTTTTTTTCACTGTATCCCGTAAGGCTTGGAACCTGTTGTTGAGAGCTATCTTGAATTCGCTGAGTTTGTTACTATCTAGTAGGAAGGCTGTATGGAACCTTTGTACTAATGTTTCTCCGGTTGTCCAATGCTTCTTTAGCTTC